AAACCACTCAGAGGCAGTTCTTCTGGGATCAGTCTGATCAGGACTGAGTCCAATTTTATTCAAACTTTTTCCAGCTTATATACCATTTTCTATAACCTCCAGCAGTATGACAAATACCTGCTGGGGGCTTACAGGTCTCATGATGCATAACGTACTTCACAAAAGATTTTTGTTTAAGGTAACAATTAACAATCAAAATTCCATGATGCATATCGTGCTTCACAAAGCTTACATCAAGATAAGGAGTGTATGATTTCAGTAATAGTTTTGCTAACTGTTTTCTATAATATTTAATGATTAATCTGTATATTATAAGCTATTCTTATTTTTACCTAATGTAAAATTTCCTATTAATTTTCCATGATTTAACAAAACACTCAAAATCTATACTATTTATTTTAATGTCCAGCAGTAAAAAATATTTGTCAGGGACACTGGTGCCAGAGCCCTTTATGAAATGCTAAATAGTGAGAAGCAGAGAACGCTAACCACAGTGTTTGACAAACCCAATGTGTACTTTACCACTGAAGTCTGCCGGACACTGAAGTCGACGCCTCAAAGCAGAAATCCAAAGTGCAAAAGTATATCCAATAATAAGTGAAAATACTAAGGAATCACTCTCCAACAGGCCTGTGACTGGGTTTTATCACTACCATACACAGGCATATTAGAGGGCAAATTTCAAGCAGAAGGAGGTGAAGTAGCAAGCACAAGTTCACATAATGTTATATATGGATAACTGAACTATGTATATATATTTCTAAACTTCCTTATAAAATTTCTGGTCTAAGTGAATAAATCAAATAGTGGTTGTCACACCTTTGGACAAGAAAAGGCACAGTTGCCATGACGATGGCCAGGGGGCAGAGGCAGACTAAGAGTTTTGGCACATAATGAAACTAAGAACGTTCTGCCTGGCTAGAGGCAGGAAAACAAAACTATTAAAGCAATTTCTGCTTACAGAAACAAAGGCTGTATGGTTACTACTGAGAAACAGAGACTTAAGAATGGCTCAGAGAGTCGGAGAAAAATGAAAACTTAAAGCACAGAATGTTTTTCTGCTGTAAGGCTTTACCTAAAATTTTAGCCTAACTGGTTAAAAGGTTTACTTTCAAATAATATAAGCTTTTATTTCACATATACAAACTGGTCACTATTCATATATCAGTACTACAGGTGTCACTGATGCTTTTATGTCAAAAGCAGATCTCCAACATGGGCCTTCATAGGCCTCAACTGTATAGCCGTAGATGTTGGCTCCCAACACTCATCAAACTGAAAACCTTCTGCAAAGGAAAAAAAAAAATCACGAGAGTGGGGAGTTAGCCCATAGACTGGGAAAAAATATTTGCCAGCTGTGTATCTGACAAAGGCCTAACATCTAGGTTCTACAAGGAACTCACACATGCTGAAAAGAAAAATACAGACAGCCTTATTAAAAAGTGGGCAAAAGATATGAATAGACACTTAAAAGAAGTGTCTTAAAAATGAGCTAAAAACAAGCAGCCAAAAGAGAAATGAAAAATGCTCAGCCTCAATAATCATCAAAGAAATGAAGATTAAAACCACACTGATATTCCATCTAACTCTAGTCAGAATGGCTATCATCAATAACTCAAAAAACAACAAATGTTGGAGAGGATATGGGGAAAAGGGAACATTTCTACACTGTTGGTGGGTGTGTAAACTAGTACAACCTCTGTGGAAAACAATTTGGTGATTCCTAAAAGACCTAAAAATTGATCTTCCATAAGACCCAGTAATCCCCCTTCTGGGACTATACTTAGAGGAACTCAAATCACTCTATGAAAAAAATACCTGCACATGCATGTTTATTGCAGCATTATTCACAAAAGCAAAAACATGGAACCAGCTGTGTTGCTCATCGAAAGTGGACTGGATTTTTTAAAATGTGGTACATATACATGATGGAATATTACACAGCCATAAATAAGGACAAAATTATGAACTTCACAGCAACTTGGATGCCCTTAGAGACTATAATACTCAGTGATCTATCACAGAAACAAAGAACTGAGCATCACATGTTCTCACTCATAAACAGACCCTGAGCAATTATCATAATACAATAAGAAAGGGATTGGCAGTAGGGGAAAAGTGCCAGGGGAGGAAGGGGGGATGGAGGGGAGAACACACTTCATCAATAAGGGTACCAGATCTCAAGTCAGGCAAAGTAGGGACCAAAGGGAAGCCCAAACTTTACCTGTACAATGACCATTTGTATACCTAATCTGAATTGTACCCCACATCTTTAAAACAACATTTTAAAAAAGAATTAATGAAGAAAATATAAACTTATAAATGGGTATAATTTAAAGCCATCAAGTTTATAGTAATATCTTATACAGTAATAGAAAATCAATACACAGGCTCAATATAGATAATCACAAATTTTCTTCACTGAAATGAATTTATGAACTGATACACACAGTTTCCTAACATTTTTAGTGCTTTTTCATTTATAATTTTATGTGATGCAATTACATTTTAATACAATATTTCATTTCTTCATTGAACAAAAATTAATCTAATGCCTATTAGGTACCAGGCATGACTTTATATGCTGCAGATTCGACTTAGACCAAAACAGCCCTAACTCCTTTCTCCCACTCATTCTCTCCCCCTGGACTCTCCTAGAATAAAACTCACCGCAGGGAACCTGATGCCAGAGTGAGCTGCCCTGGGAATGCAGGTGTAAGGACAGCGGTTTTGTGCTCATATGCCTCACATTCTAGAGGTTTCAGAAGAGTGACATGGAGCCACTGGAGCGTTTTAAGTCAAAAATGACATGACATGATTCATGATAGCAGGGCTGCTGACCACTGTGGGGAGAATATTCGGGTAGCAGGTGAGGGGACAGCACTAATGTCATAATTCAGTAGTGAAGAGTTATGGGGACTTAGAGAAGAAGAGGACCTGAGGGATGGGAGGGAAAGATAGAGGAGCTGGAGAAGCAGGAGGTGAGGAAAAGGAGCAGAGGGAAGGATTCTAAAGCAGTAGAATTCTCAGATTTAAACATAGTGGGTTTTTTTTAAAATCAATATATAAACAGTGTTTTATAAAGTTTGCATGCATCTATCTACAGAGCCTAGCCAGATGATCTTTGCATTTGTTAATTAATGCAGTTGTGGGACTGCCTAGAAACAAGTGTCCGTATGTGAATCGGGTTCAAAAAATACCAAGTGCCCCCATAAAATACCCACACACCTCTAAACTTGGGAACTTTGTGAGTGTGATTGCAATGCTGTTTAGACACATTTACCTATGAAGGGGCCAAAGTCACTTCTCTTACAGACAAGATTCCTGATCACTCAGGGGTTACCAAGATTTTGTCTGTAGTTAATTAACAAACAAGAAACCGGTCTTGAGGAGATTCTTTCTCTGGTGCTTTCAGACACAACTCCACGTTTAAAGAGAAAACCCTGTCCTTACACCTGCATTCCCAGGGCAGCTCACTCTGGCATCAGGTTCCCTGCGGTGAGTTTTATTCTAGGAGAGTCCAGGGGGAGAGGATGAGTGGGAGAAAGGAGTCAGTTCAGGGGGAAGGATCCCAGGACGACAAGTAAAGGCAAAGGGGCTGGGCCCAGCTTCTCTTCCTGGTTTCCACAGACAGATTTTTTTCTGGGCCAGGACTCTGGGAGACAGTGTGACTAAGAGCGCTTGGCGCAGGAGGAGAGGGGTCAGGACCAAGTCCCAGGTTCCCAGGAGAGGCTCTCAGCGCCTCAGGCCCCAAGGGCAGAGTCTGGGCTGGAGGCCCAGCGTTGGGGATACCCCATCCACCGAGTTTCACTTCTCTGCCAACCGGTGTTGGGTCCTTCCTCGTGGATCCTAGTGACACAGCCCCACTTCTCCCTTCTCCCTGGGAGTCGGGTTTGTAGCGAAGCCAATCAGCGTCGCCGGCGTTCCCGGCTATAAAGTCCTCACCGACACACCGGAACCCAGAGTCTCCCTTGACTCGAAGATGCCGGTCATGGCGCTCCGAGACCTCCTGCTGCTCTCGGGGGCCCTGGCCCTGATCGAGACCCGGGCGGGTGAGTGCGGGTCGGGAGGGAAACGGCCTCTGAGGAGAGGCGGGAGGGGACCGTCTACGCCGCCCCGGACCCTGCCCTGCCGCCTCTCGAGCCCCCTCGCCCCCTCTTCCCCTCCCGCCCATGAACCCTTCCCCGCCCCCAAGCTACCACTCCATGCGGTATTTCCACCCCGTCGTGTCCCGACACGGCCGCGGGGTGCCCGCTTCATCTCTGACAGCTACATGAACAATGAACCTTATGCGTTCTGTAATTTTTTCTTGTACATGCCTACCTATGATACGTTTTAATTCATAAATTAAGCACCATTAGAGATGAGCGATAGGAACCTGTAATATGATATAACAATTACAATAATATACTGTAATACAAGTAATGTGAAGTGTGACCTCTCATTCTTTCTCTCAAAATATCTTACTGTACTGTATGCACCCCTCTTCTTCTTATGAAGACGTGAAGTGATAA